GGGTTGCAGTCAACTGGACCCAGGTACTGGATGACACCATCAGGTATGACACTGACAATGAGGAAGAGGTGATGAAGGCCAAGTCAAAGGAAAGGAAAAGACAAAAGGTAGCTGAACAAGCCTGTCATGAGGCCAAGTGGGTGGTGAGGGAGAAGGCTGAGGTCAAGGAGAAAAGGGCACATGAGGAGGAGGATGGATGCAAGGCCAAGGAGGAAAGGGAGGCCAAGACTGGAAGGGGTAGTGAGGCTGGGGCCAGAGCTGGTAGTAGTGAGGCTGGTGGAGAGGTGAAGAAAGTAGTGATGGACCCTGGGTGAGTACCTCTCCACTCTGTGCATACTCCTCCTAACCTTCTTCCTAGTTGCACCTGCTGTGCCTGGGGCAACATTGTCTGTGAGTTTCTCATGGATGGTAACAAGAAAAGGGTTGCCTGTGTGTGGTGCAATCAATCCAAGGGCAAGTGCCAGTGGCCCAGAAATGGAAAGGACACCAAGGCCAGTCCCAGGGCCATTGGAAAGGTCAACAAAGGCAAAAAATGGAAAGTCAATGATGAGAATGCTGAGGCTGGGCCCAGCAACCAGAAACAGGAAAAGATGAGTACAAGGCCAATCAAGGTCTTGGACCTTGATGAACCCAAGGCTGGTGGGAGCAGGATGAAAGAGGTCACCACAGCCAGATACTCAGGCCTGGAGGATAAGCTCAAGCAACTGATCAAGGCCACAGGGCTGATTGCCAACAACCTGGCCAGCCTTTTCAAACTTCACAAGACCACTGTCAAGAACTTGGGCTGCATCACCAATGCCCTCAAGTCAATACTTGATGAATCCTATGGCTTCAGGGTGGCAGTATCCCCTTTGGACTTGGGCTCATCTGAGCTTGACTCTGACAAGTTGCATGAGGAGGCCAACTGGCTGAGGGCCCATGGCAAGGATGAGGAGGAGGAGGCTGAAGGGGAGGACAAGACCATGACCAAGTAGTACATTAGTGTATGGGCTTGTAGTTTTTCCTTCTGCCAATGTCATGTGTCCAGTGTCCAGTCTTGGTGTCATATAGTAAGTAGGAGAATCAAGAAAAGAGGAAATACAAGGTAAGTAAGGAATCAAAGGAAAACTATATACTGATAGAGGACAGAAAAGAAACTGAGGCCAGTTGAGACTGGTCCTCATTGGTACAGGCTGGGTTTACTGGGGTAGTGGGAGTGGAACTCTTGCACAAGTTCAGAAGCATTGTCCAGCTCTGTAGCTAGTACACAAGTAGTTTCTTTGTCAGTCCCTTTGTAGCCAGTCCACCAGACTAGATACTGAAGCCAACACCAGTGATGCTGGTCAACCTTGGATCAAGGATTTCTGCTACCTTGAACTCTAGTTCACTGTCAACTTCAACTGGTGGTGGTGGTGGTTGAGTCCAGTTCAGGATGGTATTAGGGACAGCTGGCTTGAGTTGGGAAATGTGAAAGACCAGATGTACTGTGCACATTGAGTCCAGCAGGCACAGTGTGAACAAGTAGGCACTGGCCTGAGCTATGACTGGGTATGGTCCAAGGTTCTTCTCTGAGAGCTTCTTGGAAGGCCAGGTTGACCAGAAGTACCTGGCTTTGACATATACATGGTCACTGACCTTGAAGTCCAGAGCCAGCATGTGTTTGGCATTGGATGGGCCTTGGTATTGTTGTTGGGCAAGGGTCATCTCCTCATGTAGGTATTGGTGCAGTGAGTCTAAGTCAAATGCATAATCATGAGCCCAAGTGGAGGTAAGATCACACTCCAGGTATACCAAGATGTTAGGGTGGTAGCCCTTATTAGCAAAGAATGGAGAGACACTGGTAGTAGTGCTAGGGGCATTGTTGTAAGCAAACTTGGCCAAAGGTAGTAGGTTGGCCCAGTTGTCCTGTTGGTAGTTACAGTAGACTCAGGGGCACTGTTCCAGTGTCTGGTTGGTCCTCTCAGTCTGGCCATTGCACTTGGGGTGGTAGCCCAAGGTGAAGTGTAAGCACATATCTAAGGCCTTACCAAGTGACCAGAAGAAGTGAGACATGAACTCTGAGCTTCAGTCTGAGGTTACATGGGCCAGTACTCCATGCTTTGAAAAGACATGGAGTAGGAAGAGTTTGGCAAGTTCTGGGGCCATGATGGTGTCATGGGTGGGGATGAAGATAGCCTGCTTGGAAAGCTGGTCAACTACTATGAGGATGGCTGTGAAGCTGGATGAGACTGGGAGTTGCTCAATGAAATCCATAGAGATGGAATTCCATGGCTTCTCTGGCACTGGAAGTTGTTTGAGAAGGCCATAAGGCCAATGGCAGGGAACCTTAGCCTGAGTGCAGGCCATGCAAGACTGGATGTAGTCTTTGATGAAGATCCTGAGGCTGGGCCAGGTGTACTCATGCCAGATGAGTTCTAAAGTGCAGTTCTGGCTGAAGTGGCCAGACAGGGGGTGGTCATGCTTAAGCTGCAAGACCCTAAGGCAGAGATCATTTGAGTCCAGCACATAGATCCTTCCATCAAGCTGAAGGAAACCAGTGTCATCTACTGACCACTGGGGATCAGACATGTTGGACAGGCAGATTTGTGAGACCAGGTCATCCAGCAGTGCAGTTAGGATATCATTGTGTAGTTTCTCTATGTCCATTAGCATGACTGCTCATAAGACTGGGTACTCAAGATAGGTTGCATGGAGGGAGACTGCTAGTTGCTCCTGGGTGAAGACTGGTCTCAGGTTCTGCATGTTCATTTGGGCATAGCCACTATCCCCCTCTTTGTGGTAGACATCCCATCATCTAGTTAGGGCATCAGGCTTAGCCCTGAGCTTACCAGGCCTGAACCTGATGATCATATTGAACTGCAAGAGGAATTCAGACCAGTGAGCTTGGTGGTGGGTGAGTACCTTAGAGGTAGAAAAGTACTCTAGGTTCTTATGGCTGGTGACAATGTTGACTGGTGAGGCCAAGCCCTCAAGGTAGTGGCACCAGGTTCAGAATGCTTCAAAAATAGCAAGCAATTCCTTATCATGAGTATCATAGTTCAATTCTGGGGTGGTCAGAGTCCAGGAGTAGAAGGCAACCAGATGTATCTAGCCACATGGCTCATCATCTCTGGTCATCCTTGGCCTTTTGTTGATGGCCCTGGCTCCTCATCATCACCCTTGTCATCATCAGTGAGCTCATCCTCCTCACTGGTGGCCTGCAGAATTGTTGTTGAAGTCAGCAATCATGCTTGGAGTTGTCAGGGACATGGCATATACCCTCTCCTTGCCTTTCCCTTTGCTCACACTTCCCAAGCTTCTCCCTGTCTGATGCACAGCCCCTCTTGAAGACCACCCTGCTTCAGCATTGTCTGGCCTAGGGATGAGCATGGGTTTGGGACACCCACATGGGTTGTGGGCAGGGGTGCCTAGTGGGAATGGGTGGGGGTTGGCATACTCCACACCCACACCAATACCCATGCCCTAGGCCATAGTTTGGGCACCCCACACCCACACTCATACCCTTCAGGAAGGGAACCCTGGGCAAGCACTGCACCTGTACCCTTACAAAGTTTCAGGAACCATATGGTACATGGCATACATAGAATGATAGGCACATGTGTCACAACCCAAAACTACTTAGTCCAACTCACAAACCCCCACTCTGCAGTCACAGGTCAAAATTTAAAACTACATAGTCCAACTCACAAACCTCCACTCTGCAGTCACTCCAGCAATCCTGTCACAAAAAAAAATGCAGCAAGAAAGAAAATGAACCTCAAAACAAACAGAGAAAGTCAAGGCAGCACTCAAGGCACAGTTAAAGAAGCATAAAGCAAATTCAGAAACATCAAACCACAGGGCAAAGAAGGCATGCATGCATGACACAGATCTTGAGGATAACTTGCTGCAATTACAGTCCCCAATACCAAGGTCACAACCTGCCTTGTCAAGCCAGGCCACTGTGACATCAGAAGAAGATGAAGACAAAGAGGCTGAGAGCATTGAAAGTGCTGAGGATGAGTTGGATCAGCTATGTATTAGTGCACTGTAATATCTTGTTACTAATGTCAATTTAGCTCATCTGAGGAAGGACTGGGTCTCACCCATTTATGCCTTCTTTGAACCAACTCCCCAGATTATTGAAAATGATGGCTGGCATGCACACAATTTCAAATGTGCTGCACATCATTGCAAAGTGACTGTTCACCATTATCTCAACAAAAAAGATGCATGGTCAACTGGCAGCATGTGGAAGTATGTCAAGTCATTCTGGGGTGATGAGGTTTTGGTTGCTGCTAATGAGGCAAAGGATTGTGACAAAGTATGAAACAAGATTGTTGGGAGTATACTGTGAGATGGGTCAATTACAGTCACATTTGAGAGAAAAGGGAAAGGGAAGGTCACTTACCCTCATTGCCAATACACCCACCATGAAACCAGGCAAGTCCCTCATGCCCTGCACCACACCACTGTCCAGTAACATTGAGTTGAATAGAGCTGAGGTCATGCACTGGGTGTCAGGGAGCCTATGGCCATTTTCAGTTGTTGAAGACAGGGGATTCCACTCCTTAATGAAGACAGGTAGGCCAGAGCAGTACATACAATCGCAGTCTACTGTATCGCATGATGTACATGGTCTTTGCATGTACTCATACTCATGTTGCTAAGATGTTGCAAGTCAGGCATATTTTACACTGTTAAAACGAAGTTACAATGCTAATTTACTTGCCAGGAGTATGAGGGAAGGCTGAGCTTCACAATGGATGCATGGACCACACCCAACCATTGGGCATTCATCACATGGTCTGTCCAATCCATGTACAAAGAGGAACCACTCACATTGCCACTGGATATTCTGGAGGTTGCAACAGTGAGCAGGATATACTGATCATGCACAGGCACTGACCTGAAGTCAGTCTCAGACTGGCTGGGAGATGGCAACTGTATTCACAAAGATGCTGGATGAATTTGGGTTAATGGAGAAGGTGCAGCCTTATTGATGATCAAATTGACTTATATGTGATGAATAAATGATTTAGATCCTGGGCATGACTTGTGATAATGCCACCAACAATGACATGATGGTAAACAAGCTCAGCAATCTCATACCAGACTTTGGCAGCCCAGCCAGCCATACACACTGCTTCTTGCACATTGTCAACTTGATTGCCAAGTCTTTAACATGTCATTTTGATGCAAAAAATATAGACAGAGACAACAAACTTGCCAAGCTGAGCAAGGCACTGGCTGAGGAGGAACTGGTCCATATCAGTGAGCTTGCAAGGGTTAGTGCTAATGAGGCAACAGAGGATGTTGATAATGATGAGGGATGGGTGAATGAGATAGATGAGTTGACACTGGAAGAACAGAGGAACCTGGAGAGAATGATACAGCCAGTCAAGTTAGCATTGATGGGGGTAAGGTGACTTGATGCAAACAGTTATGTACCTTTGGGTTTGATAACTCACACAACTCTGTAGATTGGCATTCAAGATTATTCACTCAAGCACAGTTGTACTCCCCACCTGGCAGGGGACCCTCAAAGAACTCAGGGAGCCTATCACCTTGATGCCTAGAGATGTCCATAGTCATTGGAATTAAACAGTTCACATGATAACATATGCCCTGAAGCATCAGGAGGCAGTGGACAGACTGACACAGCAACATGAACTGGGATTGAGAGATCTTGAGTTACTGGATGCTGGATGGGCAGTCATGGAACAGCTGAGCGATGTTTTAGAGGTCAGTACCTGTCAGTGTTGTGTTGTCATGACTCACTGCATGCTGACTGCACATGTTTGCTGACAAATACAGATCCTCAAGGATGCCACACTCTTCTTCTTGCAGTCAACACTGAACCTCACAATGGTCATCCCTGCCATAGACCACATTGACATGCAACTGACCACATATTCACACAACAGGAAATACTTGCAGGCAATCTGCTCTGCTGCCTCATTGGCAAAGACAACCCTCAATTGATACTACTCACATACTGATAACTCTGAAGTCTATTGGATCACAATGAGTAAGTATTAGTTTTTGCTTTGCTTGGACTTCAATACAGTGACATTATATTAGTGCTTCATCCACAACACAAGCTTATGTACTCTAGGACAGCTGGCTGGTCTGAATCCTGGATCAAGACTGCCAAAGAACTTGTGGAAGATGAGTTTGAGCATTCATATGCAAATGATGGTAATGAATTGGATGCCAACATTGAGATATTGTCAACAGCCAAAGTGGAGCACAAAAAGGTATGTTAATCATGAATATCCCCACCATAGCTCACATATATCAAGGTTGGCAACATATTTGACCATCTCCCTGTGCTTGCACCACCAAGGGTTGTTGACAGACACTCAGAGCTTGACCATTACTTGAATGCAGACATTGAGAATGTAGATCAGGATGATGCAATTGTTTGGTGGATGAAGTACCACAGTACATACCCACATCTCTCTCAGATGGCACTCAATTACTTGACTATACCTGGCAAGCATTTTTCATTCCTGCTCATTCATTTTTCATTAATATTCTTCTACAGCTATGCCTGCTGATGTCAAACACCTGTTCAGCCATGGCCACTTACTTCTTTCCCATGTCTGCTCCCAACTCTCTGCCTAGAGCACTTGCACTCTCCTTTGTCTTAGCATTTGGAGTGAACAAAACTTTGTCAAAGATGAAGATGTTCTGAAGGTTTGTCAGCAGCCAGATGTTGCAGGTGACAAGGAAGAACTGGACAGCAGATGGGATCATATTATTTAGCTATATACTGTAGTGACCAGATGTCTTAAGTTCCTAGAAACCCAAGGGTATACCTGTGCAGGTATACCCTTGGGTGAATTTTGCATATACCCATCATATTTTGCATACCTGTCATGACCATGCATTCATCCTGGGTCCTCACTCACTCCACACCCCTTTCTGCCAGTCATTCGCTCACTCCACACCAACTCTGCCTGTCCCCTGATGTTTATGAGCCATCTCCACTCTGACTGCTGTCAGACTTGTACTGCCCTCCTACTGGACCATGCAGACTGGTTCTCTGAGGAGTCATGTGACTACCCTTTGGACTTCTCCATGGCAGCACACAGTCAGGTACTCCGCAGTGCATGCACTGCATGGTCCAGCACCTGGACCGTTCCTTTTTTGGATGTCCTATGTTACCCATTCATATGTCCTCCATCTACCCTTCATTTGTCATCTAGGAAGTTTTACTTGAAAATTTATGAGTCTCTGTATGTCAGTTCTGATTCCAGTTACTGTACCTCCGTAGTAGTATAAAAGCATGTATTGTACTCTGGTGTTCTTCAGTACAAATATCAACTTAGTTCCTACTCCCTCTGTCTCCATCTTCTGCCTGTCAGAGTTACCTCTGACCTTCCATCTATTCTCTCCCTCTGAAATACAAGGGCTGAGATTGTGCAAGGGGGTAGTGCATGAGCTAAACTCAATGCCCTCACTCCACTCTGTCTTTGTCTCAGTGGACTTCATTCCTGCCAACACCCTGCCAGTCAGAGTTCAGTTCTTTCTTTTGGACTTGCTTCCAAACCTCTCCCCAGACCTTGTCTAGCATCAGAGTTGGTCAGAGTAGGTCTGGACTTGACAATACCCCACCCCCATGGGTATGGGTATCCTTTGGGGTGTGGGTACAGGTTGATATTGTTGACACCCTTGTGGAGGGTATGGGTATATACTGGGGTGTGGGTAGGGGTCCAGGACTTGATGCCTGCAGGTTTACCTGTGCAATAGCCTAGTCTGGCCCTTTTGCTGCATGGCCTCATGTATGCACCATTGCCTCCTGGGCCAGTCTCTCCTCAAGTCATGCTCTCTCTTTGACTCTCTCCTGGTAATCCTTGAAGAGGTTGTCAATGTCAAACCATCCTTGGCCTTCTGGATGATGAAGGTCAGCAATTGCAATTGCCCCAGCAACCATGATGTCATCTTCAAGTGCTGACTGCTTGGACAACTCCTGGAGGGAGTGGCCATCAAGATCAGGTATGATGATCTTGTGCTTGTCTATGTACTTTCGCCATGAGTACATGGCAGCATGCAGAGTTTCTGTCAGCACCCTCACATGCACAAGATGACTGTGTACTCACCCAAGTTGCATCCCACTCATCCACCCACTTTTGGATGGTGTCCAACCTCTCTTCTCACTGTGGCACCACCTGGGTCATCCTTCCTGTGTGTTTCAACACTCCTGTGAGTGCCACTATGGCTTGAGCCTCCATGATGAAGAACAGTCATGCATTGCAGATTGAGTGGGCTTGCATGTTGGGTGCATGGGTGGTTGAATGCAGGTGTTGGTGGGGAGTGGAGTTTGGCAGGTGGTGAGCCACCTTCTGAGCAAGTTTAAATTCCACAGGGCTATCTTGCACAATGCAGAATTCCAAACACAAGCCATCATTGTTACATAATGCCTGCCAAAATTCTGCATTTGTCTCTGTCACATCTCAGTTCAGCCTGACTGAGGACAGTCAGCATTTGAAGTCCCCAGGAGGTGTAGGGAGCTGTATACTCCCTGAGGCTGAAACAGGAAACATCAGTAAATTCTGCTGCCTCTGTGACAAGCCCCTATCACTCTATGGCTTCAGAATTCTTCCTGCTCATTGCCTTGTGTTTTGTCCCACCCCCTTTCTGCTTCAGAGTTTCTCCCGACCTCCAACATGTCCCCCAGTCATCAATAAGCAGATCTGAAAAATTCTGCATTCACCCAGAGATGTCAATAAGCTGATCCAGAATTATGCATCCAAGCCACTGCCCAGCCACATCACCAGTAATCCATGCCAATCACCTCTAAAACCTCTGGTTCCCCCTGTCACCCAGAGTTCCACAGATTGTCCTTTGTACCCATAGGGTCTTCCCTTCTGCAGTTCTGTCTTCCTGCCAACTCCACCTCTCACCTGTACATGTACCCTTGTTCTGTTGGAAGATACCCCCCCTTGCCTTTGTTCCTTTTACACTTGTTTACCACTTGCCAGACTATTTCACATGCATCTGTACTTCACTGATGTCTGTCATCCTTTCCTTTATTTTCCAGTCTTTTAGTTTTTCTGCCCCACTCTCCTCCAACTCATATCCACATCCCATGTACTATATAATTCTGCCATAGTGTTGGAAAAATATCCAACCACTTTTGGAGTCACTATCTTTGTGTTTTGCAAGTTCAAGAGTCCCCAGAGTCTAAGAGCATCTATTGAGTCTACAGTGTCTACAGAGCCTCCAGTTTTTCCCTCCCATGCCTTGTGCATCCTCTAGCCCATTGCACCTCACCTTGTGTCTCCATTGTGTCAGATACACTCTTCTCATTGCAAAACTGCCTCTCAGAATTCTGTATACCAAACTCACTGTTGCTCATGTGTCAGCAATCAACCAGAATTAATTTCTGCAATCCTCACATCTATACCCTACCCCTTCTAGTGTTATCTATGATTTCTCCTTCCACTCAGCACCCCTTGGGATGATCCTAGGGAATTCCCCCTACAGTCTTCCTCTAGTTGCATGCTTCCAAGAAGTCATGTCACACACTGGTCAGGGCTGTAAATGCTGATGCTGTGCCTGACCCCCACCTACAGGCAATGGAGGGGATGAGCTTCAATCAGATCATTGCTCACATCAACCAGTTAAAAGAGTCAGAGCTGCAGTGAAATTGGGTCCTGCAGACTCCAGTGTATGGACTATTTCTTCCTTGAACTCTTTTTTTTCTTCTTCTTCCTCATTTTATGGCTTTCATTCTACTTATAGACTTCAAAATATAAAACAAAAATAAAAATTGACAATAAAGATACCAAAAATAGTGTACCAGTAGTTTCTTTCAATCATTTCTCTTTTCTTGACATCAAAGAACCACAGGATGTATTTAATGGTTCAAACTTTATTTCTCCTTCTCTTACTTTTACATCATCTGAAGTGGAGTCCCAAAAGGACTTGGGGCCAGATGTAAAATTGTGCCTGCTTAATTCTGCTTACAACAAAAAACAAAAAAATGTTCCTTTTGATCTCCCAGATTTGGAGGGTAGTAGTGCAAAGACTACTGTACAATCTGAAACCCAATGCATGCTGAACCTGAAGGATCCTGTGGAGGTTCCTCTAGTGCTTTGAACAAATGCTGGTTGGGTGTTCAATGTGGATGCATTAATCAACAGTGGCACTGCCAAGAGCAGTTGACATATTTAATGTGGATGGTTCACCTAATTCTGCTGGAAGGATTACACATCAGGCTCACCTTCAAGTCTGATACCTTGACCACCATGAGGAGCTTCTTGCCAAGATAACTGATCCAGGAGGTAGTACCATGATTCTGGGACATACCCGGTTACAACAGCACAACCTGCTGATAGACTGGAAAACCAGTGAAGTTAAAATGGGTAGATGTCCAGCTAGATGCTGAAAGTTAGCACCAAAACCCTCATTTATTCATAGGATAAAAAGACTTGAATTAGAGGCCTTGCACTCTTACATTTCTTGGATCTGAGCTCTCAAAACAGACAAACCAAAAACAGACAAAACCCCTGAGGAACTTGTTCCAAAGGCTTATCACAAATATTTATCAGTCTTTTTGGAAAAGGAATCTGAGTGCTGTGAGTCAAAGTGAG